CCCCAAAACCCCAAAACCCCAAAACCCCAAAACCCCAATAAATCTGAAACTATTGAATAACTTAATACAAATATGAAACCCTCTAAAATAACCTACAAGACATCTGCTCCACTGAGGATAACTCAGAAGTTGTGGAGTCCGAGGGGTCTGGTACTGGCTAAGGGTGGTAGAGTTCATGGGGGAGTGAAGAGAGGAATGGTAAATAGGCCTTGTAATTTAGGTTTATAATTAGCAAATTTTATTAATACTTTCAGACAAAATTTTCCCAAAGCTAACTTTGAATTTTAATGTTTCTTTAGGAGAAGACTATCAATAAAAATGTACTGCCAATAAGCCCCCTCCAATTATTTTCCAAGAACAAGAAATACATAATGGTAAGTCTAGTAGCTTTTGATTCATTGACCTAGGAAAACTTCCTACTTCTACACCTCGAACCCTTTAGATGAGTGGTGCTGCCAATGATCTCTCTTGCTCCCTGAAATCATACATGCTTTAAGTAGTATGAAGTATGAGCTGGAAAATATCTGGAATTAGGTTCTTCACTTCTTTACTTATAAACTTAAAAAATTAGATAAATATGACATCCTGATTAAAACTAGCGAAAAATGGATTTCTATTAAAATATAGCTGATTATTTGAAACAGTCTGAAATATTATCTTAACTAGGAAGTATTCTAAATCGTACCAGTTAATTAATTTTTGAGGACTTTTTGGTCATGAGGTCTTGCTTATGATTCAATAAAATCTGAATTTGATGATAATGGAATTTAATCAAGGAAGAAATGGTAGTCTAAAATTTCATTGTTTCTTAACTTAAAAATTAAACTCTTTAAGCCATCCTGCTAAACCTCTGAAGTATAGCTAAAGACTCTTCTAGGAGGTACTAGTCTGTTTGTTCTTGTTAGAGTTCTAATGAAACTTATAGAGAAATAAGAATTCAAAATTTCAAGTCAAGATTCCTAAAACTAATTTAAGGTAAGAGCCACCCCAATTTGAGCAACCATAAGCTTAGCTATGTTAATTGTTTTAATTTAAGGATTCTTGGCCAGATATTTTATGTCAAGAGGCTTCACCAAATCTCATATTTGTCCAAACCCAGAACCCTCTTACTAGATAATGGGAAGGAGTTTTAAGACTTCTGGGATTATAGACTAATACGATCATTTTGAGGGGCTTCTTGATGTGACATGGCTATTTGGAATTGGATTTGGAGTAATTATTTTGATAGAAAAGACCCTTTTTAGATGCATCCTCAATTTCACCTGGAATGGATAATTTAGTATATATATTAACCTAAAAGAAGCTGTCAATAATTCTGAACTTTAGAAAGTTTGATTTCTTAAAGAAGGATGTCAAGAGTGTATCTCCAAAGCGGAGAAATCTTAACATAAAGACTCTGGTAGCCCTAATCCCAAAGAAAATCCCCATAAGGTATAAATTATCTTAATAATTTCAGACACATCAGTCCCTCGATAAGGAATCCCAGGCTTGCAAAGATAGATAGACATCAGAGTAAGAAGAGCAAGGCTGATTATTCTGGAGATTTCTGCCTTCGTGTACGAAAAACTAAGAAGTAAGAGTCTTAAAGTTACATTATCAATTTTTGTCCAAGGAATCACTTAAATTATTAATTCATAAAATCTTTTATTCATAATCATCTGAAATAGTTTTACAAAAATTGACAATGATATAGAACATCAAGCATCACAAACCTTCAGGGTTTATTAAGCGCTATTAAGACGAAGGAGACTGTCAAAATATCTAAAAAGAGTACGAATAAGGTTCTTAGAGGTAAGCTATTTCACAAATTCACACATGAATTAAATTAAAACACACTTCTTGTAGAAAGGATTATGTCCCCAATCGCTAAGAATATTTCAGAAAATCTCAGATATGAGAATCTGACTTCTGTTCTTGGAAGAAATAAGGAAGCTCTTAAGAACTTCATCGGTTTCCAAGAATTGAAGAAGAGTAACACAAGGAGACATAATACATCCCACATTCAGAAATTTGAGGTGTACAAGTCCATGGAGGAAGACGGTAACGATAGAAGTATTCTAAGAAAATTTCTGAACTCAGATTTACTAAAAGAATCGGGAGGTATGCTAAAATTCAATTTCACTCAGTAATATATAAATCAAGATTTCAGACCAATACTAGTGTTGTAATAACTTTGAATAAAGCTTCAAGGATACTTTTCTAGCTATAAAACTTCCTAAATCGTACCACTCATCGGTTATTCTTCCTAAAATTCTAGTGTCATAAAGTTTTAAACACAATTAGATAAGAGCTATTGCTATATAATTTTAGCCGAATCTTTATTTCCAGATCAGAGTGATTAATTCCATACCTCTAGTAAATCTAACGCTTCATTATAGAGTCATGATTTCCTGATTTATCAAATGGAGAAGAATCAAAAAGAAGTTCATCGATTAATAATGAGATAATTGAGTATTAATAATAGACATTTTAATTTCTAAATGGAGCTCAAATTCAAAATTCTCTGCCTATATTCAAAAGGCAGATACGTAATGTTTAGCTGGATTTTTGTCGAGTCATGGAATAACTAGGCTACTCAAGTGCATCTACGATTGGGATCACTTGATTAATGCAGCATGGATGATTAGTTTTGACCAATGTACTAAATCTATTCTTAAAATCATATCTTTTCACTAAGCACTGGTTTGGCTTTCATTAAGAGAAATAATTAATTTTGATGTACATATAAGAATTCTTTTGAGAAAACTTAAATGAGCCTCTTTAAAGCTCTCCCAGCTGAGCCCTTAACTCTATAAATATGCTCCCAGGGCTTCTTTCTTACACTCATAGGCTCACAGAGGGCATTTAGTCTTTCCTCTGACAAGCATAAAATATATCATTTTTTCTGAAATTTTCAACAATAAAATTAATTAAAGGGGTTTTGGGGTTTTGGGGTTTTGGGGTTTTGGGG